CAAGCTGGCCCACCAGGCACTGGCACAAGGTCACGTTTTAAGGGACAGTGTTAAAAGGCACCACTGGGACCCTGAAGAAACACAGATGGGAGGTTTGCTCTCTGCTACCTGGCCAGTGCATACCGCACCTGGGTCTGCCCAGGAGCTGCCTTTGGGTCCAGCCCATTCTGTAAGCAATCCATGTATGCCGAACTTGTTGGAAGCATGAATCATGGGGCTCTTTTCTGTGTCTAGTCAAAAAGCCTTCTGAGGTTTCCAGAATGTAATGAGCTAAAAACAAGAGCTGTAAGAGCCCATGAGCCATATGGAACAAAGGGCCACAGTACAACGTTGGTAGTTTGGGAGATGAGGCTCCGTCAGGTATACGGAGGAACGAAGGCTGGGACTATCTGCCAGGGTTGTTAGGATTCCAAGAGCTGTGTGGCTGGGTGGGTGGAGTGGCCTGGATGTGAGTGCCACTCCCCTTGTCCCCTTGCCAGTGTGCCTTTGCACGGTGCACAGAATGCACAACTGTACACAGTGTTCCCAGTGCCACCTACTTCATCTGTGTCCCAGCAGGTGCCAGTGTGCTTTCTATGCAGGCTAAAATGGCCCACTCACAGTGTGTGTGTTCTTCAGTGCCTGTGCCCTTATCTTTAACTGGTGCGTGTGTGTGTGTGTGTGTGTGTGCATGTGTGTGTGTGTGTGTTAGTTTAATTGGTTCAGCTACATTTCTAAACGGCAAAGACAAAGGCTATTCCTCATTTTGATCCATTCCAATTAGAGATCTGGGCACAGCCTGTTAATTCTCCACATACGTACATACACTGATAAGCTTTTTGGTTTTCAAAGAATCTTAGAGAAACGACTCATCCCGAGCATCCAGCAGCCCTTTGAGGTAAAGATTCCTTGCTTCTATGGAAGGAGGCACAGATGTGGACAGGTGATGCAGACAGTATTTTTTTTCTTTTTTTCTGAGCTCTGTTGTTAGCTCTCCATTCCCTCTGTTCTGAGAAGTCCTCATTCTGTTTAAAGCCAAGCAGCAGGTTTTCTGGAATCCTTCTGCTGCTCAGACTTGGGGAGCTAAGCTGATCTTTACAGTTTACAGGGCAACTGCAGTAGGAATAGGCCGAGCAAACACAGGGCACCACTGAATACCACCCATGTTATGGATTTCATGGATGTATTCAGAAATATTAACGTAGCATAATTGAGGTCCAATATTGCACCCGCAAGCCTGGAGGAGGAAACAAGTGACTCTTTCTCCCCCTGCCCTCCCATACCTGTCAAGCTTAATTTTTAACCTACGGGGCATTGCAAAACATTCCTACCAAAGAGTTTAATTCATGCATCTTGTTTTAAACTCGAGGGGCTGGGTTTTGAGCTGAGACGTAAGCAAACTCTAGGACAGAGGGAAATAACTTTCAGGGTTTTACTTTTCTCTGATTTTTGTGTTTTTTTTTTTGTTGTTGTTGTTTTTTAATTTTCTCCCGTTGTGGATTACAGTGTGGTCTGACATGAGAGAGTTGTTTCAGAGGTCAGGAATGAAGCTTTGAAAAAGATTCATGTCCTGAGAGGGGTAGAGGTGAATAGAGGAGAGCCTATGTCCATCTCACTAAACCCAGCAAGTTTTACTCAAGATGGGCAAGAGCCTTGTGAGCACCACCCGCCCCGTGCGTGTGCTAAAGGACAGTTTACTCTTTCAAGGCACAGCCTTCTCGGTCTCTGAAGGGACAGGATGGGGCGGTGCAGGCCATCGCATCACGGGGAAAGAGTTCCGCTCTCTACTAGACCGTGGGTGCGCCTTTGCAGGAGGCCTGCGCCTGCGTCTGGTATTTCTGCGCATATAAACCTGGGTTTGTTTATTAACTAAAAAGGATGTTTTTCCATAGTACGGGTTCACTGAGATCACCAGATGTGGAGTCATAGATTGGCCTCATGCTGGACGGGCCTGCTTTCTAAGTTGTCTTATGTTGAAATTATGAAGGAACACATCCCTTTTACCCTAGGTGACTTTGATTCATTCAGTTTCTGCTGATTTCTGTTCATTCCTAGTGGTGCACACAAGCCTCTGAGAAGCAAGCTTCCAGGTCTCCAGTGATGGCTCACCTGAAGAGGGCTTGTTCAGAGCAGGAAACGTGTCACAGTACATGTTAATGATCATGAGAGTTTCGTGGCTAGGTGAAATCTGCTCAAGAGTAGAGTCATGGCTTGACTTTGAAATGACTCTGAAATGAGTTGCACAAAACCCTCAGGAAAGGGATGCTCAGTGGCTTGAAGCAGTCACACGCACATGTCCTCATGATGGGTCTCCGTGGTGACCCTGAGAAAGCACAAGTTTTATTAAAGGGGCTTATGTTAAGCCAAGTGGAAATTATTTCCTAGATATTGTGGCACCTGTGACTTTGGTTTATTAGTGAATTATATATATTCAGTAGTATATTTATAATTATGTTAATTAGTTTGGGGCGGCATTTTGTATACAGAGGGTGAAATTGGAAGTTGATGGTTTTCTCTTAAGCAGGCGTGATTTACTCGATTCTGCCAGCAGAGGGCGCCCTCTTTAAACTAATAACATGAATCTTAACCAGTGGGGAAAGATTCTGCTCCCGCTTGCAGTAACATAATATAGCCTCCATAGTGGATGATTGTACCTACAGTGAGGATTTGTTTGAAACAAGGTGTTCGTGGCTATTTGAAGGCGTTTCTGGAGTACACTGCTTTACAGTAGATACTTTTGTCCTGAGACAAAATAGACTGTCAGATTTACATTTTAATTCTCTAGAAGGTTCTGCGGTGCGTCTGGACAGGTTTGCTGAAAAAGGCAGTGTGTCCAATGTTTCTTCCAGAGAGGCTCTTTTTAAAGCAGGACAGTGCATGAAAAGAAGAAGGCAGCTTTGTTTTTCTTGAGCTAAAAAAAAGAAAGAAAGAAAAAAACACACACCAAGAAATCCAGAGTTTTGTTATAGGTATGTTTTGGTGGTGGTGTTTTGTCTTGGTCTTGTTGTTGTTGTTGTTGTTTCCCCCCCAATGTGGCCTAAAAGAAAGTAAACTCGATTTCTTGTCAGTTTTTGTTTTCCATGACCAAGGAAAGCGAAGTGCAGGGGCAGGGAATGAAGTCTAGGATCAAAAGTCTGAAGGCTGAGTTCTTTTTGTGTAGGGTTTTCTTCCCCTATAGTATGAAGGAATTGCCAGAGGTGATCTCTAAGGTACTGGCATGTTTTGAGGCTTGGGGGCTTTGAGGGTTTTTTTGTTGTTGTTGTTGTTGTTGGTTTGTTTTTTAATTTATAGTTCAAATGGTTTAAGTGGGGGCTTCTGTGCTCGCTCGTGCGATGGGAACGTTTGCTAAGAAAAGACTTGAATTCTTTTCTGGCTAGCCAACAATCCTAAACCCAGTTAGCTGCAGCTTTCTCAAATAAAGGACTAGAATCCAAGAGGACGGAAGGTATCTCTTCCTGGGTCTGTCCTTTGCTGCGCCCAGCAGGCAGTTAACCGAGTGCAGACACACCTCTTAGAAAGCCCGATTAGAAAGTCCCAGGGCCATTTGAAGGTGAGCTGAAGTTGACTCCTTGAAGTTCTGGGCTTGCCTGGAGGCTGCCCTCCCGGGGCCGGCAGCCCGTGTGCCCAGCGCTCTCTGAAGGGCTTTCCTGTTACACCTGCGGGCCAGACTGTGCCAGCGCGTGGGAGGAGGTGGACACTGGAGCGAGGCACCCGGTCCCGGGCTGTTCGAGAGGTTCAGACCTTCACAAACGCGGCTTTGATTCTATTTTTTGCTGAACTAGCTGGGTTATTTCCTGTGCTGCGTTACTGCGGGCTACTTGAGCCCCCGGAGCGGGGGCTGCCAGCGCGCATAGGCACCGTGGCTGCCAGGGAGGACTATTTTCAGCACCCCCTTACAATGCCCTTCTCATTTCCAAGGCGAAAACGAGCAAGTTAGTCTTGCCTCGGCCACTTGTCAGCCCGATGACAACTTTGACTTTGACTTGGGTGCCCCTCCCCCTCCCCAAATCCCTAGCTCAGCAAATATTTGAACCTAACCGAGTTAATCATGAAGCCGCGATCTTTATCTGAGCGAGACGTGCGAGCGCCCGCCGGGGCTCCTCTCTTCCCCGGTGCAGTAGAGCGACCCAGGGGGCTCCGCTGGAGGAGCCGGGGACGCGCTGCCGGGGCGGGGCTCGGGGCGGAGGGACCGGCTGCAGCCGAGCCCGGGGGAGCCGGCGGCCGGGCTGAGCCGCGCGCCCCCGCCTAGCGTGCTCTCCTCTGGCTGGGCTCGCCACTGCCGTTCCCGGGCGGGCGGGGGAGCCTGGGGGGGGGGGGGGCTGGGCCCACTCTATGGAAGAGCAGCTTCTTTGGATTTTTCCCCTCCTCGGTGGGATATCAGCAGTTCAAAGCGAAACCGCTGAAATGCATAACCTGCAAAGTAAGTCGCTTTTCATTTATGCACTTCTCTGCACTGGGCTCTTTACCTGCAAGCCATCCTCTTTAGTTTAGCGGGGCGAGTGTGAGTGAGAGAGAGAGGGGGGGAGAGAGAGAGAGAGAGAGAGAGAGAGAGAGAGAGAGTGTGTGTGTGTGTGTGTGTGTGTGCGCGCGCGCGCGCACACGTGTGTCTGTGTGCGCGCACGCGCACACTGCCCTCTCATGCTAACAGTGTGTGCGCCTGGGTGAGTGCTGCCTGGGGAGAGCAGATGGGTGATTAGGGGAGACACTCCCTTCTGTCCTGGGGCGGGGGTGGGAGGTTGACACACTGCAGGGAAGAGATGGGGTTCAGGTTTGGAGTTTAGAAAGTACCAGGCAGGAAGTTGGGGCTAAGCCAGGCTCACAGAGACCATGGAAAATCACCTGTCTCCCAGACCTGCTCCTTGGGTCTCCACATGGCAGCAGCAGTCTACAGCCAGGCTGGCATGCTTGGAGTGCTGCACGCATGGCCCTTTGGGCCAACCTATGAGCCATACTGCCCAGAGGAGTTGTATCTTTACTTTGGGGAGAAGACTTGGTTTTTATTCATATACTTAAAAAAAAATTGTCTAAGGACATACTCCACCATTTTTACTGTTTTTATTTGAATTTGAGTTTAGACTTACTTTAACCCATAGGAGAAGTGTGAGCTGGAAGGGATAGGGTTGAGTCTGCCGTGTCCAATAATGCAGAAATAAATGGCCCGGAGTAGGGGACTCAAGTGGACAGCAGCCGGGAAACAGAATGCATCGCTCCACTTTGTAATGCTGTGTGATTCTGAATGTGATAGAAATCCAAAGTGGCTCCTGTGTTCCATAAATCATCACACAGATGTGTAACATACAGATCCACAAAACCTACTCTTTAAAATGAAGCCACATTTTCACTGGAGCAGTACCCCTTTATAGTACTGTAAACGTCCGGAGACCCTGGCTCCCAGTGGCTATGTACCTCAAGCTCCAGTTGTGACAGAATTACATGCAGAATGATTTAAAGAACCAAAAGGAATCATTAGATTTGTAGGGAAATTGAGGTTGTGTTTTTTTTTTTAATTGAACACTGCTAAGAAGGAATATTTGTCACCTTTCCTCCTCTCCCAAAAAGGTGCTGAGCTAAAGAGAGAGAGTGGGGGGAGAGGCAGAGGGGAGATTACATCACCTTCTTTAAAGCAGCAAGCAGTGTGATGGGTTCCTGAGAGGAATGCTTGGTGGAGATCACCTGTGCTCTGCCTTCTGATATCCATCCGGCCTCTTTCTTATTTTTATTTTTATTTTTTGGCAGGAACATCTTGTTGTCCAGTGTTACTAGACAGTAATATTGAAACTTGCCAATTCTGACTATTATATTTATCCCATCTGCAAGTAGTAGACATCTTCATGCCTGTGCTGAATTTTCATGATTATTTTATAAAGTCTTCCCTTGACCTTGGGATATCTGGGAGAGGCATTTTGTCTGAGTACTATCTCTTAGCTTCCCTTTTTAATGTGATGCATTTATGGCAGTGTTTAAGACTCAGGCTGTCAGTGAATTTTGGAAGACTGGACTTACAGAGGGCTTGTCCCTTTCTGCTTCTACTTTATCTAAGGACTGTGAAATAGACCTTAGGAATATTATTTTGGTGCCTTTGTAAGATTTTCATACCAAGGAATAGCCAGGCTCCCTCTGAGCCCAGATGCACGAAGTGGGCAGAGCTAGAAGCTGCAGTCTATCAGCTTTTGTCAGTCTGCCAGCAGCGGGCCGTACCATGCTGCAAGGAGTGATAAAAAGGGAGAGAGTGCACTGCTGGGAGAGCACAGGCAAATTCGACACCTTTCAGAGCGGCGAGTGCAGAGACATTGCGGCCGTGTGGCATGTAGGCTCTGGGAGCGAGGCTGGGGCTGTCTGAAACTGGCATCCAGGCGAACTGATGAAGCAGGAGTGGTCTGGTGACATTTTTCTGACTTGATTGGCTGGGGCTTGTGATGTAATAGGTTACAGTGCAGCCCCGTATAGGTTTTAAAATGAATTCCAAGACACCATTACAAAGAAAGCCGGACTCTTTCCTTATAACTGAGCACAGCCAAGGAAACTCTCGCACAAATGTACACCACGGTTTGGACTATGGAAGACCTGGACTTAGAGTGTGCCAAGACCGATATAAACTGTGGCACAGACTTGATGTTTTATATAGAAATGGATCCACCAGGTAACACTGCAGTATTAACGGAGAGTGCTAGTTAATTTTGGGACGTAATTTTTTTTTTTTTTTATTGAAAACTGCTGTAACAGATTCTCTTGAAGTTGCTATTTTTACTGATTTGTTTCATGGTTTAAAATTAGTTTGATTAGGACTTTAAAATTAAGCAGATTCTTTGACTGCCTGTAGCAGCAAGCAGCTCAGGCTGTGTTCATAAATGCTGGCTCTTGCTGAATGGATGGGAACTGGATTGCACTTCTCTCCGCTGCTATCTTTTGTTAATTGGGACCCTTGGCAAGTCGGGCTATATTGTTGTATATTGTCCCTTTACTTAAGAGGACGCGTCCTTTGTGCTGCTTTTCTCTGCTGGCCGTGGACTCTGATAACACCGGGTGCTTTAGAACAGCATGAGAGCTGTGGCAGTGACTCAAACTGGTTTTCTGATGACCTGAGACTCTGGTAAATCAGATGTGGGGATTTTCTTGCTCTCTCTCATGCTGAGATACTACACTGGGAAAAGAAGTTGGCTTTCCTCGCCTTTGTAAAATAAGCCTTGCTAGACACCTGAAATCTTGGGTGGGGGAAGGGTGCATAAGTTAAAGCAGTTCAGTTGCAGTGCTTTCAAAGTTAATGGTTTCAGATCTAACTAAAAATCCTAGGTTCCTTCGGTTGTTCCCCTTAGGGTCAGCCCTCCCTGCCTGCACTGAGGGCTCTTCAGTGCTTAGGGGCTTCTGGTCACCTCTTTTGGTCACTGTGTGCATGCTGCTTTGCCATTGAAGAAGGGGATGGGGTTTTTAATGAGACCTAACACGTAGAGCACGATGCCCCCCAGTAACATGAAGACGAAGGAGATGTAGGTCACAGATGAGTTTCTTGAAGTGGCTTTGGCAGAACTGAGCATGAAGTGTTAACATAGAGAGACTCAGTTCTTAAAACATACTGTTGTAAATGAGGGCTTTTAAAAAATGTGACTGCTCATGCAGGACAGAGCGACCAAATTTGTCTTTCATAATTAAAGAAGGGAAGGATTGAAGCCAACTCCTGCCTGTTATTTCTGCCACTCTCAGATGCTCCTAGTTTCTTACTTCAGCTGGAGCTGCCTGGGCATAAAACTTTAACACAGCTAAAATCTAGAGCTAGAAAATGTTGACTGGATTTGCTTTGAAATATTCTCCCGTAGCCAACCCCAGTCATTTCTTAACCTCTAGGTATGTCAATCAGTCTGAGCGTCTCTGTGTCCTGCTCCCCATCCCCGTCACTCACTTCTACTTTCCCTTTTCAGTTGTCGTTTTAAACCACATTCTGCGATTTCTTTTGAAGACAAATATCTTCCGTGGTACATGGAATTGTGAATTCCTTGGGTCCATTCCTCACCCTCTTTTCCTCCCCTCTTCCCTCATAAATGTCTTTTAGTAAATTCAATTGCCTTTTAACTGAAAATAGAATTAGATTTTTATGTGTTCTTAATTAAAATAGAATTACACCACTTTCCCCCATTACTTTCTTTTTGTTGTTGTTGTCGTCCTTGTAATGAAATGTTGCTCATCTGAAAAGATGCAAGTCTAATTTTGCATGTGCACTTGGAGTTCAGATCGCAAACAACTTTTTCCCTCCTTTTCCTGCAGCACTGCCCCCTAAACCACCCAAGCCCACCCCTGTAGCCAACAACGGCACGAACAACAATATGTCCTTACAGGATGCTGAATGGTACTGGGGGGATATCTCAAGGTAAGGCCGCCGAACTCTTCCCTTCCGCCAGATGCAGGGAGGTTTCGAGTAAGAGCAGAAAGCACCAGCTTGCTGAGTTCCATTTTTAGGATGTCATCCAACATAAGCATGAAGCATAGTTGGTTCTCTTCCAAAGACAACGAGAGAAGTCACTGAGCACTCGCTCGCTGTGGGTGCTGGGTGACACAGGAAATTGAATACCCAGGAAGCTTCCCTGTTGACAGAGATGGCAGACAGGGCAGCACCAGGGGCACAGGGCACTGCCTGCTTTCTCAACAGTAGGCAGGGCTCTGGGAATGAAGGGCTTTGCTCCCCTCACATACCCTTTAGCTTTTAGAGTGCTTAGTGAGTGGGCTGGTAGACCCTTACTCTGGATCACGACTTTCTGTGCTAATTTGTCAGAAAGTGGTAAAAAAAAAAAAAACAAAAACAAAACACAAAACTTTGTATTAAAGACATGCCAATAGTGTAAATGGATGTATATTCATAAGTGCATCATGTACTTGTTTTTAGTGGGATGAATTTATAGCACTTTTGTATGAGGAAGGAAGGAACTGTTAGTGACTTTTGAAAACATACAATACCAACATGTAAATGTACAAGGACAGGAATGTAAAGATATGGAACATATGGATTTTCTGCTCAGTGTCCTAAAAAAAAAAAAAGTGTTTGTTAAGACTAAGGGTGTAGCATTGCCCAGTGGTATAGCAATCCCCAGTGTGCGTGTGTCTGTCTGTGTAAGTGTACGGTTATTCAAAGTTGAAAAGTAAGCACTGTCTATGTTGTGCTCATTTTAGAGAAGAAGTGAATGAAAAACTCCGAGATACTGCTGACGGGACCTTTTTGGTACGAGACGCATCTACTAAAATGCATGGCGATTATACTCTTACACTAAGGTGAGCCAGGCAGTCTGCTGAAACGGGGATGTCTGGGTTGTCATTAGACTTCTTTTCCTCTTTAAATTAGCACATAAAGTAATGGGTTTCATTACAGGATTTTCAAGGTTCATCCCTTTCCCTACTTCCTTCTCCCGTCTCCCTCTTCCCTGAGAGGCCCCCTTCTGCATGAGAAAACTTTAATGATCATTTTTTATTGTATTTACAGGAAAGGAGGAAATAACAAATTAATCAAAATCTTTCACCGAGATGGAAAATATGGCTTCTCTGATCCATTAACCTTCAACTCTGTGGTTGAACTCATCAACCACTACCGGAATGAGTCTTTAGCTCAGTACAATCCCAAGCTGGATGTGAAGTTACTCTACCCAGTGTCTAAATACCAGCAGGTAATCATGCAGAACTCCTCATACTGCAGGGACACAGGCCCAAGATACTCTCCAGCATAGGAAATGATTTGAAATTGGGTTCTGACAAATTTTATGTCATCACCAGCATTTCATAATGGCTGAATTAGATAACACACTGACTATTTCATTAAGGATTTTTATTTGAGTAAATACCTTATCAACTGAGTTCTTTTCTCCTTGCTTGTATATCTTTCCAGGATCAAGTTGTCAAAGAAGATAATATTGAAGCTGTAGGGAAAAAGTTACATGAATATAATACTCAATTCCAAGAAAAGAGTCGAGAATATGATAGATTATATGAGGAATACACCCGTACTTCCCAGGTGAGTTTAAGATATTTTGGACTAACACATGTTACTTTCAGATTCAAAAGAATAATTAAATGTCTCTGACCCTTTTCAATGTAGCCCATGCTTATAAAAATCCTCTGTTAAGCTTGTTTCTAACTGGCAGGGTCATTGTGAGCTTTCAGTTGATATAACATAATTCCTGGCTGGAACTTCTGCCCAGGCTGGACATTGATAATAACCACTAATGTCAGTTTGTCCAAGCTCTGGAATGGAAATTTCACATCCATCCCCCGACCTTGCTGCGAGAAGTGGCTTTGTTCACTGTGCCGATTAGTAGAGAAAGCAGCATGGATGATGTAAAATAAAATTGCTTTTTAAAACAGTGACCAGGTTGTACTTAACATATTTAGGAACACGCACACATGGAGCAGCTAAAAAAGAGGCCGTGAATTTGAAAGAGAGGAAGGAGGGGGGTGTAAGGGAGGGTTTAGAGGGAGGAAAGGGAAGGAAGAAATAATGTACTTATATTATAGTCTCAGAAACATAAATAAATAAAAGAATTTTAAAGTGAAAGTAGACAAAAATTCTCCACAAGAAACATTTATTTCTATAATTCTTTGACTAGAGTTTGTGAATTCATGGGCAGCCCTGCTCACAGAGTATACCAGCCGTCTATCTTAGACTCCTTCTTCACTCTCCATCCCCTTGCTACTGCTGTCTAAGCCATACCACACAGCTATTTACATGGCATTGACGTTGTATCAGGCTCAAGCAATTTAGAGATGATTTGGAGTCAAGAAGAAAATTGCTCAGGCTCTGTGTGTCCGTTACAGCACTTCAGTGAGGAACTTAAGCATCTGGCTGTTAGTGGCCGAGAGGGCCCCGGTACCTATGGATGACTGCCGACTAGCAGTGCATTTGCATTGCAATGCTAGCTAGCTTGTCCTTACAGTAAGAAGTCTACTTTGAAAGCGATAACATTGCCTTATGAAACTTGTGTTGCAGGAAATCCAAATGAAAAGAACAGCTATTGAAGCATTTAATGAAACCATAAAAATATTTGAAGAACAATGCCAAACCCAGGAGCGGTACAGCAAAGAATACATAGAAAAGTTTAAACGCGAAGGCAACGAGAAAGAAATTCAGAGGTAGATGAACCGTGAGCGTTTCCATTATCGTTGTGACAGGAAGTGACAACAATCATTTAAGGCTGGCCAAACTGATGATCTCACTTCCTGTAATTTGAGTAATTTTAAAATGAAATAAACAAAGCTTCCTAAAGTGGGTGGCCCTTGCGCGGTGCTTGCAGGTCCTTACTGATCTGTTTCTCCTGCCTGCAGGATTATGCACAATTATGATAAGCTGAAGTCTCGCATCAGTGAGATCATAGACAGTAGAAGAAGATTGGAGGAAGACCTAAAGAAGCAGGCCGCCGAGTACCGTGAGATTGACAAGCGAATGAACAGTATTAAGCCGGACCTCATTCAGCTGAGAAAGACAAGAGACCAATACTTGATGTGAGTGTTTGAAACAGAGCCTGAAGAACTGACAATAGCTAAAATTAAAGAGGAGTTCTTTGCTTTTAATTTGCAAAACTCTTTCAGGTGGCTGACGCAGAAAGGAGTTCGGCAGAAGAAGTTGAATGAATGGTTGGGAAATGAGAACACTGAAGAGTGAGTAGCCACTAAAGATGGGAGGGGCAGCCTGGGGTTTTGTTAATGGATTGTCACTGACTTTGGGACATCTTCGAGGGAAAATGCAGAAACTGAGTGGTAGTATCCAGAGTTTTAGAAAAGTTGAGGGTTTTGGAGTTTTGTTGTTGTTGTTTTTGATTGTTTGTTTGCTTGCTTGCTTGTTTTTTTTAACCCACAATGGAGTAAATTGACCCATGTATCCATAATGATGCCCCTGAGCATCAGAAAAATCCCCAAATATTTTTGGAACAATGAGAGGAAAACAACAGTTATGTCTAGTATATTTTGAAGGTTAAGTATTAGTTTGATTATTTGAGACCTGGCAATCTTCTTAATACTGTCCCTACTCTCAGTTCAGGTACCTAAAGGGTGACTGCTGACTTGAAAATGGAGATAGTAAAAGCTTTTTGTTAGCCATTCACCCTGGGGTGAGGGGGAGGCTAAACAAAAAGAGAGTGATAGGAAAGGTGATTGAAGGAGTCATCTGACCTGACTTGCTTGGAAGGAGACCTGGGGGCCGCCTGGGGTTCCAATAGCCTTCACTCAGCAACCTTCCCTTCTGCCTGTGTAGCCAATACTCGCTGGTAGAAGATGATGAGGATCTGCCCCACCACGACGAGAAGACATGGAATGTGGGAAGCAGCAACAGGAACAAAGCTGAGAATCTGTTGCGAGGGAAGCGAGACGGCACTTTCCTTGTCCGGGAGAGCAGTAAGCAGGGCTGCTACGCCTGCTCTGTAGTGTAAGTAGCTTAAGAAAACCTGTTAGGCTTCATCCGTGCGCCCATTGGAGAGCAGGATAGGAAAACATTCTCATCTTGAAGCAGCGAGCATTGGCTAGCCATGAAAGTCAACGTAGTTAGAATGCAGGGTCAGTAGCTGAGAACATCACCTAAAACAGATGAAGCACTCTTTAACTGACCAAAACAATAGGAAGGGCCCCGTTGCAATACACGCAGAGGTACACCCCAAACCGGCCCTGTTTCTGTCTTGTAGGCTAGTTCCTTTTTATTTCTTAATAGTTTGGAGGAGTACTTTGAAAAGTAAGATTTGGAGGCTGAGCGTGGCTTCTGTACTCCTAGCTCTCAGAGGCTTGGGCGAGACAGTGGTGAGTGATTCAAGTCAGCATAGGCTGCAATATGGAGACTCCCTGAGTCAACCAAAAGAACGGTGCAAGGAAAGTTTGGAGTCACTAGCATCATTGGGACAGAAAAACAAATGTCCTCTTATAAAAACACAAAAAAGTACCTTATATTCTATGACCAATCACTGCTTCATTTAAGAACTATCCCTATTAGACAGACAGAGGGAGAACTTTGAGTTAATGATGAGAGAATAGGAGAATTCAGAATAAATGCCAAGACCAGAGTTGCGATGAGGCCTCAAGGAACGCCTTAAAGAGGCCTATTGATTGTAACTACAGGGAAGCTAGCATGTGATCTCACAAGGACAGTGGTAACAGTGCCTGTGTGTGTGTGTTGGGGGGAGTTGCCATTTGTCCCGTGGTTGGCTCGTGCGACCTCCAGCCACATGTCTATCAAGTACTCATGTCTCCTGGGAATCTTACGTCTTACATACATGTTCTGGCCCTCCTCTTTTAGACCATTCAGCAGTCCAGTGAAGCAGGCCCAAGTGCATAGTCCTTGTGTATGTCACCTGGCCAGTGAAAATGGCACTAATAGTTTACTGTGGCTGTGGGGCTTTGGCTCTCCAGGCGTGAAAGAGGCCCACTAGCCATGGCCGTCCATGACAATAGCTTTGTTAAAAATACCCCGTGGCATTCCAGATTGTCTGAGACCAGTTTGAAAGACTTTTTCTTTTGTTCCTTTGCCCCTTTCCAGGGTAGATGGCGAAGTCAAACATTGTGTCATCAACAAGACTGCCACCGGCTATGGCTTTGCCGAGCCCTACAACCTGTACAGCTCCCTGAAGGAGCTGGTGCTACACTATCAACACACCTCCCTCGTGCAGCACAACGACTCCCTCAACGTCACACTAGCATACCCAGTATATGCACAACAGAGGCGATGAAGCGCTGCAGTCGGGTCCAGTTCCTCACCTTCAAGCCACCCAAGGCCTCTGGGAAGCAAAGGGCTCCCCTCCAGCCTGACCTGTGAACTGAGCTGCAGAAACGAAGCCGGCTGTCTGCCCATGGGACTAGAGCTTTCTTGGACAAAAAGAAGCCGGGGAAGACACTCAGCCCAGGGCTGTTGGATGACTAGACGTTTCTAACCTTATCCTCTTTCCTTCTTCTTTTAATTTAAAGCCACAATATACCACCACCACACAGAAAAAGAAATGCAAAAATCTCTCCGTGCAGGGACGAAGAGGCCTTTATCCATGGTGCTTGATCATGCTTTCTGAAGCTTTACCAGCTACAAGTTGGGACTTCGGAGACCGGAAGGTAGACAAGGCTGAAGAGCCTGTGCCTGGGACCGCTTGGTCCAGCCTGGTTTAGCCTGGGTGTCGCCGGGTGTGGTGAACCCAGACACGTCGCACTGTGGATTACTTCCTTTTTTTAATGAGTGAACGATACGCAGCAGCGAGGAACGTCTGCTCACGCAGGACACTTTGAAAGAACATCGATGCAGTGTGTTCGGAGCAGAAACAAAAATACCCGAAAATGTTTTGTTTGAGCTTGTCAAATCAACAGCCAACAAACCCACCAACAGGGAAATGAGTGTGGACAAGTGGACTTAAAATGACATTCAGTATATAAAATATGTACATAATATTGGGTGACTAACTATCAAATAGATGGATTTGTATCAATACCAAATAGCTTCTGTTTTGTTTTGCTGAAGGCTAAACGTGCAGTGCTATGCAATTCTTAATTTTTATTATGTTGTTACCAGTTTCAAATATACCTTCAGAATAAGCTCCCCTCACCCCAGTTTTTGTTGCTTGAAAATATCGTCCCTCATTTTTTGTTAATATTTGTTTTGTTATTTTTACTTTTTTTTTTTTTTTAAAGAAATGTACAGGATGCCAGAAAGAAAAAAAATGGCTTAAGAATTAAAACTATGAAATATTTTACAGTTTTTCTTGTACAGAGTACTTGGCTGTTAGCCCAAGGTTAAAACGTTCATAACAGATTTTTTTTTTTTTAAACTAAATGTTGGGCAGGGCCCTGATAAGCTTCAAAGCTGCTTTATTCAATAAAAAAGAAAAAGAAAATGATATATGCTATGACAAAGTATTGCTGAGTGCAAAAGTGTTGTTTTAAGACTCTTGAATACGGTACCTGGCAATGTTTGTTTCCTAACGAATTGTGAACTTCTTGAATCTGGAGGGAGGGGGAGGTAGCCATGGGTTGTAGCAGGCGGGAAGGGGGGAGATGGGGGGGGAGATGGTATGCACTTTCTCGGGATTCCAGATAAGGGGAGGAGAATTGAAGGCGTGAGGCATCTTTCCCCACCTGGGTTTGGTAGTCATTACCAATTCACAGCAATTCCAGACCTGCTGTAACTCCAACCCAGCCCAGCTGGCCGGCATCTCTGCTCTCATGCAGTGCCGAGTTAGTTTTGAGGTTCCCAGACCGTGCTCTTTTGGCTGTTGAACACACTGGTCTCAAGGTTGAACCCCTGCATCTGGAAGAGGTGTTCTTTTCTCCTTTTGATATTGGAGTAGTCCCAGCAGCCAGCCACCATTCATTTCAGCAAAAGCATGACCTGAGAAACAGTACTTTTAGTTGGACGCTATTTTCCTAGCTCTCTGTTCGGTTTAGAATGTAAGGCGTGTAGACCGTGACTGCGCTTTGTGGAAGTTGTTAAGAAATGCGCACACACACACACACACACACACACACACGGCTCTTCTCATTCACATGGCTGTGCAATGTTGTGCATCACGGTGCGGAAAGGGAACAGTTGGTGGTGTCTTTCCTTTAACTTGGAACAAGAGTTTGAGTTTCCCTGCCCTGATGTGCATGTGCAAACGCTGGTGTGTTCTTGGGGAATTGTCGCATGCTGTGGAGAGCAGAGGCTAAGGATTGTCAGTCACAGGCTGGGGATATTCAAGTGGCCTCTTCAGTTTCACTTTCCCTTCCTCACTATCAGCTGCACCCAGGACTTTTATTTCTCTTCCCTTCACAGACTTAAGGTGAAGGCATTTCGTGTCTTTCAGTGTTGTTGTTGTTTTAATCTTTTGCAGCCCGGTGGTTGGGTTAGTGGTCTATGGAATGTATTGTTTTTCTTCCTATGAAATAACTGCTCATCCTCAAGAGCAGAAGTCAGTCAGCCAGACTGTCAGCCCACAAACTTGACTCCACTGACCTGACCACCTCCTGACAATTGATGATTCCCTGGGCTTACTCTGGGCTTTGCAATCTCCAGTGGTAGCACTCTGCCACTCCATATAAGACTGAACAGAACAGATAATGCTTGATTGTAAGCTAGGTTTGTGGTTGGATTATTTTTTCCTTTTTCTTTATTTCTTTTCTTTTTTCTTTTCCTTCCTTCCTTCCTTTTTGTAGCATATCATGTATGCTATCAAATACAAATAACTTTCATTTAATTTTAATAGTGGATCAGAGATTGGTTGTTTCATTACAAGTTCTATTAAGTATTTTTTTTTTCTTCAACACTCTGCAAGATGACTTGCAACTTAGGCAGATGCCTCAATTTCTCATTGCACAAACTTGAGTTTTTCCATCTGTCAGAAGGCAGAAGTCATCTATTCTACACAATAGTGAGCCCTGTTACACCTGTCCTGCTGAATGCCTTTTGATGACAGGTTAGTATGCTCACCAGCTCTGTCCTTGGAGAAGTTTTGACCTTTAGCTTTCTGTGGATTCCATCAACGCATTTGTCTAGTAGAGTTAAGTGGCTCACGAGTGCAGATGGACACAGCACTGCTGATACGTAAGTACCCCCGCATCAGTTCTTCTCACCGACTCTCACATCCTAAAGACAAGTCAGACACTAAGCTGCTGAGAGGATGAGCTAGACCATAGAAGTGAAGAGTTGGGACCTCATTCTCCGCACCAGAGGGATCTTAACCACATGAGAAGGCAGCAAGCATATGTTTGACACATGACAACTTCCTGGCCCTGGGTATATGTATATATGTATATGTGCATGGACTGTGTTTCCAGTACACCTCTCAGGCACGCAGATCCACAGTCGAGTTCAAGTACATAGCAAGCAGATGTCTAGCACAGGTCTTGTATATGTGTATGTTCTTTTTTCCTTTGATGTTGCCTTGTTTTGTCTTATAAAGGTGAAAATTGCTGACAAGTGAAGTGAGAGGTTCATCATTTGACTTTTTGCCCCCCTGTTTTTAGAAGCTACTTACCCTTTCAGGGAGCAAGTCTGGGTGGCTTGCTCACCTGAGGCATCCTTGTGTTCAGTGTTGTCAAGTCAGAGCTGTCGTTGTGGGGAACCAATTGCTTTGTTATGTATCTGGTTATGAACTAATAACTTGTTTGGGAAGTCCTACTGATGTTCTTTATCGAGAGAAAGCTCCTGCTGGTTTTCCCAACTGTGCTTTTGCAATGCATGGTATCTAAGTCAGTTGGAAAGCAGGCTTTGCTGTCTGTTTAAATTTAGGGTCATTTAGGAAAGGGGCAGTTAAAAAGCACAATGCCTCACATGGGACAAAGTTCCAAAATACCAAATTCTTCTACTTTTTACAAAAAAAAAGGAATATGCAGTTCTATGAAATAACTAGTCCTGGGAGTGGGAGGGAGTGGAATTGGCTCGATTGGAAAGACTCCCACTTCACGCTGAACTTGTCACCATGAGATAGCATTGGCTGCCCAGGATGCTGCTATTTAAGAGAAAGAAAAAGAAGCAAAACAAACAAAAACCCCTCCTTTATACGTGTGTATTTTTTAAAGTTAAACTCTGTTCAATGTTTTTACAAATCTGTTTATATGACATTGATAAAAAATAAAGTTGGTCTTTTGACGAGAGGGAGGATGTCATGGTCAGTTGTAATTTTGCCTTTACAAGGCAACTGGGGTGGGGGGGAGGGAGTGTGCCTCCTTGACATTTTGTTCAAGTTATAGATTCAGTGAAGCTATGTATTGTTTTAAGTTGCTTAATGCATTGTATTAGGTCCTCAAACAGAATAAAGGTTGTTTTGAAACTTAAGTTTCCACTTGAAATTTTAGTTTTCACCGGACACATTTCTAAACTCCTACCAGCCGGTTTGCTTCACTATTCCAGCTCAGTTTTGTGAACTGAGGTTACAAATTGGTCACTTGAAATGTGTTCAGTGTTATTTATATAGCATCTTAATATGTTAATGGTAAAAATAAATAGGTCTAGGTGATCGTTTCAAGGCGCAGTCTTGCTATTACAAAAAAGCCTCATTTTCCTCTATCTTTCCAGTCTTCCACCCAGCCTTGACAATTATCTACTAGCACCTACGGTTTCTGATGGCTTCTGGTTTTGCCTCTTGTACGGTGGGAAATTCAAGCTCACGGTACAAGAACAAGAAGCAGTGGTGTGACCTGAGGTGTAAATAGGGCCATGTTAGTCCCCAGATACCAGTTTGCATTTTCGCTGCCTGGTCAAGAAGCAGCTCTCACTGTGCAATAACGCCTCCACCAACATTTCCTGCTGGTTGAACCTGTGACCACGCTACGGTGTGTTTGCGTATTATGTAGGCCACACATTTAATGTGGACGCACGGTGAGGTTGCTCCATAAGACCCTGCCAGACAGTGGTGGCTCACACCTTTAATCCCAACGCTAGGGAGGCAGAGGCAGGCCGATCTCTAAGTTTGAAGCCAGCCTGATCTGAGTTCCAGGAGAGCCAGGGCCACACAGAGAAACCCTGTCTTGGAAAACGAAACAGAAAAGAAAACGTGGTCTAGCAGTGAGAGTGAGAGGACCCACACTTACTTCAATGCCAACATGGCTGGCGTGTGTTAAGCATGGCAGGATCACAGAACTCATTTCCCTGGCTCTTGGCCCCTCTGGTTTCCCTGAGTCTCCTCCATAGCTGCGGTTCCTGCTCTCTGGATTGTCTCCTTCGGGTGTGAGCGATATCCTGCGGACTTAGCTTAAGGACAAGGGTCTGGTCACACTGATGTCTTCTGAATGTCTACCGCCTCATGCTACTTCTAACCCTCTGTTTTCCCGGTATACCCTCTTTTTGGTTTCTGACCCTTTCATCAGCTGAATATTTCTGCTTACTTAATTCTGCCTGTAAGAAGAACTATGGATTACCTAGTGGCAGGATACATTCTGAGAAATGAACCCTGGGTGATTTTGTCATTGTGTGAACATCATAGAGTGTATTTCCATGCACCTAGCTGGCATAGGCTATTATACTACACCTGGGCTGTTTGCCATGTACCTATGGGCTTCTCGGACCCAAATGAGCTAAAGAATGTGAGAGTAGGTCAAACACAAGAGCAGATGTTACAATCAAGACACATGAACTTGAGCTGCGTGGGGCTACTGCTGGCGTAACATAGCGAGCTCTTACAGAAAACATTTTATAATCAGGAGTGCACTCTAAAGTACGTCAACTACATTAGCCAATAACAACTGTTTGTTGTCAGGTTTCCGGTAATGCCCATGCTACTTTTTATACCGGCTTGTCCTGGAGGTTTGCATCACCCTTCCCACGATGGTAATAAGCTGTGACAGTGTCACAAGTGTGGGTGTGGGTGGGGGAGATCTTCTGGCTCCATTCTATTCTTAGGGGACCACCATTGTGGTATCTGTGGCCCAGACTCGGCTGAAATGTCGCTTTGTGGGACATGGCTACACTGTTTTCCTGACTGGCCTCTGACACAACAAGTGATTATCACCCATTAAATTCTCCTTAGGCATTATCCATACCAATCCCCAAACAGTTATGAGTTAGAAGATATTACTCCTATTCTACAGATAGAAAAAAACAGAAACCTAGGTATGACGTGACTTGTTCAAGATCTTACCATGTTTGAACACAGATTGCCAAGCCATCTTACTCAAAGCCATGGCACCTCACCCCCATCAGGATAGAATCTAAAGATTCCCGTGAAAAATATACAGAGCAGCGCAAAAAGGGATGACCGGTAATTCTTACTACTAAGGAATAAACAGCGAGACACAACCGGTAGGCAGAACGTGGTGCCTTATGACGAATAGCCCGAAATAACCGGATACTTCTCAGAAGAACCTGTCAGCATCATCTGGTACCCTGCTGAGATGCTGACTCCCAGTCCTCATCCCTTACTTA